GATCTCTTGTCGTCATCGTTGCTGTATTTTATATAGATACATATATCTTAAACTTTATACATGTACTGTTTTAGATTTTTAGTTACGTAGCTTTACATAGATTCGGTCAGTTTAATACATTTTTATGCTTAGTTGGTGTCCCCTATTGGCTGATGGTTTCTCCTCTGCTATATATTTTATTGACGTGTTAATAAAGTTTATTCATCAATTCATTCATTTCAGAGCCCGTTTGTTGATAACTCACCCCTAATTACTCAATTTACAGAATTTTTTTAGTAATTGTTTATCAGACAGCGTTAACGTAGTTTGCCACTATGTCCTCCCTCAAATTTATGAATGTTATTGGTCCGTTTGCCAAAAAAACTTTAGAGTTTTTGTTTTCAAAAAAAAGCGTGATTAGATAATCTTCTTTCAAGTGCCCTAGTTCGAGTAGTCGCACTGTAACGGTGGCTAAAAAAGAAGAAAATGATTACAGAAACATATACGAGATTTGAATACATAGCAAACAGAAAATGATAGGCTTGTAAAAAAACACCCAAGCGCTCCTCTCGTGCCTTTCTGACCAGAGTTGCACAGTTGGTAAGGATTGGTTCCAAAGGGACATTCTTGGGAGGTCATCGTTGATGGAGTCATCACTTGGTTGAAATGTTCTCAAAATGGGAACAGGATTGGTTAGGTTAGATGGTCATAAGAGGGTCTCAATGGGGTGGTGGCTTTTACGGTTATCGGCTAAAATTTTGGCTCTTTTACGGCTATCGGTCAATTTTTTTCAGTTACGGTTAACAAAAAAGTTAAAAATTAATGTCTTTTGTTTCAAAGAGTTAAATATTAATAAACCTGTATTTTTTGTATCTTCAAAGCAAAATAAAGGTCTTAGTATCATCTCGGGACTGAAAATGAGGCTATTCTTTTTGAAAAATTTTAACATCTGATAGATCATACTTTTTATAAAGTATTCCATTTCTAATATTATTTTCCGCATAGAAATGTCAATAGTCAATTCAAAAATAATCTTTGTGGAAAAGCAAAAGCAGACACGCGAACGCCCAACTCAAGGCCGGGGCGCGATATTCATTTATAACAGAAATGGCCGTTTTCATACTAGAGACGGATTATTCGTGTGAAATGGGTTATCCGTTTGATAATTCGCATCAGATAGGTAATACGTCTTAATTTGAAAATGGGATGGTTTTAATTTTGAATGAACAATCCGCCTGACCTTGTCCGTCAATTTTGATGGACAGTTTATCCGTTCAGAATATCCGTTTCAGATAGCCTATATACAGGCGCACCCTCCCCTCAGAAAAAATCGAAGAAGGGGTTTCTGTGGGGGAGGGGGGGCCTGTACACAGGCCAGTCGCAGACGGATAATCCATTTCTAGCTCTAGTTTGAAAACGGCCAATAAAAAAATTCCTGTGTCCATTGTTTTTAATGACAGCGAAGGACTGTACAGAACGACCGTCTGCCGTTGGCTTGTTCATAGCCCTCATTATTCCGCGCGGCTAAAGCTTTGGGTAACGTGGTCCGAGCGAGTTTTTTTTCTCAGGTACGCCACCGAAATGCCTTGACTGAGATTGCGTGGGAAGACGCCGTACAGGGACTAGGCCAGGGACTAGGCCACAATGTATACCGTAGCGTCATAGAAAAACAGGGAATTGTTGCAGGGATTGTTGTTTATCGGCAACGCATTTTATAAACAGTGACATCTCTGGGTGTTGTTTCACTAGTATTTCGAAGGCACGATTCCCTGAAAATCGCAAATTTTAATTCCCAGCAAGAAGCCAGATTTTCGCTATGGAAGAAATCAGTTCCTTGAGAGAGTGGCGGAAAAGGAGCCTAGGTCTTGGTCACAACTAAAAAGCGCTTGGCCAAACGTGCGTACGGAATCAAAGTAGCCGGGAAATAAATAACGCAATCATAATTGGGTTTAGCACCCTCCTTAAAATTAACAACTCTGTGGAACAATTTCTATTACGGTTAACTCTTTTTTTACCTTATTTCCGGCTAACGGTTAAAATTTTTCAATTTTTACGGCTATCGACTAAATTTTTGGCCGTTTTACGCCTATCGGTTAACCCCATTGAGACCTTCTCATAACTGATTGAGGATGGAGTGGCATCGTTCATTGCTTTTTAGCCCCCAAACAAGATTTGAGTTTAAACTGAAATATCGGCCAAATACACGACACACTGACCTCTACACCCTACAATTTGATTTTTCGGTACATGTTTTTTTTCTCTCAATCGTCTTCCGTACTGATCAGTTTACTGTTTTACCGCTTGGTATTCCAAATGATTTTTACTGATCCAGGTCTACACAAGATTTAGCTGTCATCTTGTAGTCTTTGTAGTTTTGCCTTTTTTATTGTTTTAGGGGCGATATGAAGGGGTATTAATTTCACAGTTGAAGTATGTGATTGAAAGGGCTTGGAAATCTGTCATCTAGGTATTTAGAAAGCCTTTTATTAACATATTTGGAACAGAAGCGCCTTGTAAATGATAGAGAAAACTTACTGTATTCGCTATTTCACTTCATTCTAAGGTTTGGAAAAGGATGCAGTGTTCGTTAAGGTATGTTTAGGCAAGGTCAGGTTTTGTGGGCGCGCCACCCTAGCTTCTGTTAAGTACCCCTTCCGGGCTTTTCGTCCCATATCCCCCTGCTAAAGGACATGTTCACCGTCTAATTTTGATACCAGGAGTCTCTTCATACATTATTCAACTACCATTGGTTTAATCCGGGCAGGGGGAAACATAGTTATATCATCATTAATGATATTGATTATTAATTGAGAGATGGACAGAGTCGGGCAGCAAACTGTTTCTATAGCTTGAAAATAATATGTTAATGCGATTGAAAAATGCATTGGGCTCCTGATAACATTTAACCTTTTCCTTGAGTTTGAATTACACATGATACGGTCATTGGTAACAACCCTCTATCCCCGGGATATGTTAGGAATAATCGTCCCGGGGATCTACTCTCCTATACAGTCGACTCCCGATAATTCGAACCTTCAAGGGAAATAGAAAAAAGTTCGAGTTATCGAGGGTAAAATTATATAGAAAATGATCTGAAGGGAAAGGAAAATTGCTTCGAGTTAGCGAGAGGTTCGAGTTATAGAGGGTTCGAGTTACCGGGAGTCGACTGTAAATGTGACGAGGGTGCTCTTCTTCCCTCTTAGGGAAAGAAATTGCAGATTTTGGTCTCTGAGGGTGTTCAGGACAGGAACCCAATATTTTTGCCTATTCAGTATCGCTTAGGGTTGTGTGTAAAGAAATGTCTACCGGTATCACAAAAAAGAAATGCCGTTAATTATGACCCGTTATCTCCCTAAGGAGTTTAATTCTGAATTTTCGACAAGCATCTGGCCTTTTTTCATATTAGAGATACCCTCGGGTTACTAATCATAATGATCTAATTATACAAGGCTTCACAAGGAAAAAAAATCTGGTATCCGACAGTTGTCCGACGATTTTTATCCACTCGGGCAACGAAACGCCTCAAACAGTCAGAGAGTGCTAAAGACTTTTCATTGATCTTATATTTTTAACAAACAGTATTCCTAGCTGTTGAAGTTAGATGTCACAAGCAAAGATATTCCTCTAAGCCAAAGTTCACTCCAACAACTCTTAAGAACAAATGGGAAAATCGTAATAACCAATTACTAACAAAATCTAATTTTCTCTCGGTGAAATTATAGTAGAACCAGAGTCAAGAGGCACTCAAAATTATCTTTTCACTAAGACTCTCAGAATTCCACACTAAAGAACACAATATGATACTCTCGTATTGACACCCAAAATTCACCCAAATTCTGCTCAGTTTGCAAGCAGTAATCAAGCGTGTGTAACTGGTCACTCACAAGATGAGTTGTCGTGAACACAGCGATTCCTACGTAACTTAATACTGATTTCGTGACAAAGGCTAAGAACTCTAAAATATGTGATGACTAAGCAGATTACTCAATGACAAGCACTTGATTGTAAAGATAGTGAGAGGTGGTCCCGGGGAGATGGAAAGGTGTTGATTAATGGTTATATTGATAGGAACTGCTTCAGTTACAGAGAATGTGAATACACAATGATTACTGATAAAACTTCGCAAATGCAGAAGATCATTCAGCAGCATGGATATATGTGAATGGGGAACTCTCATCTGAACACTTTCTGAGCAGTTTCCGATACAGAAATGTTTGGACAAGTATATTAAAGAGTTTGACTAGGCTGTCATTTGTAGGTCTTGTAGGGAAACTTTTTGATGATGTGACTATGATAAATTCTATCATGAGCGTATTACCCTGACTCTGGCCATTGGATTAGCAGCATGCTTAGCATGATGAGTTTTTGCAATTTTAGATATGGGGAGTTTAAGCAACGACGACAGCGATTGCTTCGAAAACGTCACTTAAAAAGTGAAGTCGTACCGCTTCAAACTTTATCCCGCTTATTTTATCACATTCAATTCGTCAAATCTTGGCAATTTTTTTCTGGAGCTGAATTCTAAAAGACTGTATCGAAGTTCAGAGAAAGAAGAAGAAAGTAGTTGTCTTGTGTTCACGTCCGCCACAAAACGTGAAATTGGGCATTTTCACGTCGTAGTAGTGCAACGACGGCAAAGAAATGTACATAAAAGCGTGATGCACGTGCAAATTGTTGTTTTGCCAATCTAAACGTATTACTTTTAAGGTGCTGTTACAGGAGACGATTTTTAGCGCGACACAGCGTTGCAACATGTACATTGTTGCGACATTGTTTCGAATGGCTACAACATTGTTCCAACTTTGCATCGCTGTGTTGGGCTAAAAATCGTCGTGTGCGAATCGTCCCGTGTAACATCACCTTCATGACGTTCTCGTTGACGTCGCCGTCGTCGTTACTTAAGCTCCCTATTAAGGATGCTTAGAACTGCTAGACGCATACAATTCAGACAGCATTTTTTCACTTTTATTTACAAAAGAGGAAAAATAAATTACAACCCCAAAGTTTGATCAGTCCTGTTTTCAGCCTATTTTCGCCGGCTCTATCTCAGTTATCTGTGAGCACTTCCACTTGGCTGTCAACACGGTGAGTTGTTCGTCTTCCTCTGTGTCGCCTTCCTGAATCCTCTCTTCCAATATATACTCCCCATGCTGTTCACAGCCGATATCAAAGCGATATTTACCGGCTCCTTGGAGGTTATCATCCACAAAGTTACCGACGTATCTATGATTGGAGTGGACCAGCTCTCCCGCTCCGTCTCGCTTGCCGTGTACCCATGATCCCGTGTACTTGGTTCCAGTTGCCGAGTACGTGTACACACCCTGGCCATGTCTCTGATGCTCGTACCAGTCTCCCTCATAAGTGTCTCCATTTAAGTAGTAGTAAATTCCGTGGCCGTTTCTGCGGTCTTCCACCCAGCCACCCTCGTAACGTGAGCCATCTGGGTACCAAAACGTACCCTGGCCGTGCTTCCTGCCCTTGGCATATTCACCCATGTATTTGGCGCCGTTTTTGAAGCGGTAGGTGCCGTTACCGTGGCGTTTGCCGTGTTCGTACTGCCCTTCGTAGGTGTCACCGTTTGGAAGAGTTGCTTTGCCGTAGCCGTGACGTTCTTCGTTTTCATTTCGTTCACCTTCATACTCCTACAGAGAAGATAAAAATGACATTAAAAAAAGCACTCACCTCATTGAACGATTTAAGATAACTAAAAAACCAATTAAGGCGATGGCACACCCAAAACCATTTGAAAGTCCAAGACTCCCCCTTTTTCTCTTCCATAATCACATACTTCAGGAAGCAGAAAAAATTGTGTGCCTAAAATCGTAGTCGGTGATCACATCACACTGAAATCCAAGAAATTATTAGAATGGAAAAGAGTCTTATTATTTCATTATTTATACCAATGCGTGCTATTTCAAACGAAAGGTATGGACCGAGCGTGAGCTGGAGACTAGCGTACTTGGGCCTCATCAGACCAGTGAGAGCGCGACTCGAAATTTTAGAGACCAGAAGGAAACTGGATCGAGTCAACTTTCTGAGACTTCTGGGACTGTTACTAGGGCTAGGGAAAAAATTGTCCAATAGCTGCCCAGCACGTCCCTAGTAACGATCCAAGAAACAATTGCGGAACGCGTTTCGGCTCCAGTTCCTTCTCGTTTCTAAAGTGGCGAAATATCTTTTAGGGCGTGGCTGAAGCAAAATGTTTTTAAAAACAAATTTTTCCATAGTTTCTAGTTTAGGTTTTTTTATAACAAAACTTAAAAAAACCCTAAACCCGGGTGGAACTAAGACTGACAGGCGACAGCTGGTCGGAGACCTTTAGTCCTCCACTCTAGAATCTCTCAAACATCGATTTACGAACTTTTTTACTGAAACATTTCAGTCCCGAATAATGTGCTTCAAATTTACAATTCGGGCCCAAACTCCTGAAAGGTAGCTAACTCTTTCTTGCTGTCCTCGCCTACATTCTCAAAGTTTGCACAGTTAAAAGACAAGTATGGTACAATGTAAATCACATTTTACAGAACTAGAGGAGAGAGCAAGCGGAGAGTTATAGGCCAAGGAGATCCTCAGGCCTTCTATTCGGTGATATATTTTCTGCACTTGCGTTTTCCATTGGAGGTAACTCAGAAAAAGGCTGGCTGATTTTTAGAGCTCTGCTTTTAGGTAAGAAAACAATAAGGTATTGGTCGCCGTTGGCTTTTGAGTATAATTGTGCATGAGCATTGCAGATCTCATGGTTTTCCTTCCTACTATTAGACTGACTGTAGCCCGCTCAGTCTTGGATCCTGCTCCTAGCAACTGGGGAGAAGTTGTGACAACAAGTACTACAGACTATACCTTCTTTCCACAGTAACTAAAACTTTTTTTGTGGACGATACTTTAACATCACCGTACATAACAACCAATTTCATTACGAGAGAAGTCTGGTTACAAAGCATTTCGAGTCTTGTTCAGTTTTTCGTTTTTTCCCGCCTTTTTTTCGTTAATGAACAGGACCTAACCAACAAGTTTCATTCAATCAAAACAAAGGGCTCAGTGGGGTTCGGAACCTTGGTTCAATAAATGTTTCAAATTTTAGGATGATTTTTTGAATGCTTTCACTGAATACGTATATTTAAAACAATGGAAAATTATTGGATTTGGGGGTAGCTGAAATATAAAACATGAAGGGAGTAGGTAGTGGACCAACTGGTTTATGTGCATATGTGCACACCTTTTTCTACATTAATTCTTTCATTCTCATTTCCCCAATAAACAAACACACTGCCCCCCCCCTTAAAACTTGTACCACAATCTCTTCAATTTCTTTTAGATGGACACTAAAGGAAGGTTATTCAACGACTGTGGTTGTAAGAAAAAATCGACGTCCCTCCGTGGGACTTAGAGCCTTCTTATATCCAACAGGTGAATGTGGGATAAGTCTTCGATAAAACTCATTCTAAATGTTTTTAAACTTTTCAGTTTTCATTCTTATGGCATAGTTTGCGGTGAATTATGACTAAAATACTATTTAATGGACGCATTTTCTACTGGATGTCATAATGCTCATTATCTCATGACGCTCGCGGAAAACACAGGACATTCAGTATTTCATGATATTGTCGTCGGTCAAAGGATACTTCACGTGCTTTGCAGCCTTGTTAATATTCATATATAAGAAGACTTGTCAGTTTGTTATTTTCTTCGGTAGCTAGTCATTTTACCTCCAATAAACCAATTATTTCGGTGAGCGATCACTAATCTCCCTTTAATTCTCTTCGTCTATACAGATACGAGATTGTTACGGATACGTTCTCCAACCTTTTTATGCGAGGCTAAAGTAGCGACAAATAATTCATGATTTCAAACAATCTTATGGGTCATCAAACATTCAATTCATTGAGTGCTTATTCTTGTTAAAGTTCTTTCCTAAACCGGCGAACGAAAAAAAATCAGTTCGAACAGAGTAGCTCATGCCTGTTTTGAAAGGACAGAAAGAAAGTTGAACAAAGAACGTAAGTTTAAAGTTACAAGGCTTGCCGTATAAAAAGCGACGGATTCACAATGATTCTCAATAATATTGACATTTGACAGTTTGCTGTACCATTTCGACAGCATAAAATGAATAAAGCGAATGCGAATGGCCTTACCCCAAGATTAATGCCTTCGTCTTCCTCAAATTCTTCTGATCCTATGTCTGACATGTTTGAGTTTTGAAGTTTTAAAACTCAAAAATGGATGAGAGAAAACTCTGGTGTCGATAAAAGCTCTGCAAATATGATTTCAATTTGTGTTTGCAGCGGCTCTTTAGTTTGTGTTGCCTAAGCAACTGATCCTTGTAGTTTAAAATTTAAAATTCAAATAAGTAGCTGCCTTATGCATTTGTTATTCAAATTATATCTGAGATTCAGTGAACCGATTCTTTTCCATGTCTGGCCTCTGCATGTATGTATCTGTATTTATTTGAAATTGACATCACTCTTAACGGATTGGCTTTACACATGTCAGATGAAAATAGGTCACCAAAAACGAAGCTTTCAGATTGCAAAATGTTTGAAAACGCAGCTGTTCTCGTGTGGGAAGATGAAAAGAGAAAATTTCGAAGACGTTGAGATGATCGAATCTCACGCTTGATAAAAATGTTTCACTGCCACCTTGCCATTTTTACAAAAATCAAGCATGTTTTAAGTTACTTTTTTCGTTCAATGTCAGAAAGTTCAGTGGTTGTTTCAGAAAGCGACTTTATCAGTAGGCCTACCGTTTCAGGGGCTCGTTTCTCGAAAGTCCCGATAATTAACGGACCCGGTAAGCTGTCTCCGTTTATATCAAAGATCGAGGTTTCAAAAGTTTTGTATCTAGCATGATAAAACTATCAGTTAGTGAAACAAAATGGAGTAGTTTGCTGCCCAGGACCCGCGCTCTTATTCTTTACATTTCGATTTGAATATTTGATTTCGGGCCCGAAAGTTACCGGAAACGGGCCCCAGGGCAGCAGCCAGCCATTTTATTTCCTTTTCAGTCGAGTTGTAGAAGTCGTAAAGGAACGGGGGTGGTGAGGGGTTTGAGGAGGTAGAAGTAAGATAACTTAACCAATATTGGCCTATAAACAATCTCAGCTCAACCGTTCCTTTTTAATTTGCAGCCTGTATGTACTCTCGTGTGGTGCTTTAGTCACTGCGGACTTGATCGGGGCTTAAACAGCTGAAGAGCAGCCACCCGGCCCTCTGCGTTTTACCGCTGAACGCTTTGGGAACGCGCGACGAAGCCCTTAGATCATCTGTGTGTCAGGCTATGGGTAACCTTCTTAGCCGGCAGTTGCCAGTCTTTGTTTTGTTTTGTTCTCTGTTGATTTTGGTTAATTTTTATGGGGCACCTCAGGTGCACTTGGGCGAGCGCTCTCGAAATTTCTCCACTGATCGGTGCATGCTTCACAGGCTAGCCCTATGCACAGGCTTCAGTTGGCCTTAAAATGAGGTGGGGGATCGGGCCTCCCGGGCCTCTCTCCTGGTTACATTTTATCAGTCTAGCTGACGACTTTCCCTTTAACATCAGAGGAATAATTTTAGAACGTTTCAGAGCTAACCCGTATTGAAAAAAATAATCCTTTCAGCCGTCTGATTCGGCTCTGGGGCCCGTTTCTCGAAAGCCCGGAAAACGTTTCGGTCCCCAAGGCAAATTTTAAAATCAAAACCTGTTGCGCTGATAGTATCACAGTTTATAGCCCACAAACCAGTCAGTTTTGCTTCGTTAACTGATAGTTTTATTGTGTCATTTTCAAAATTATTGGAACCTTGATCTTGAATTCAAAACACGACAAACGAAACAGCTTTTCGACGGGGCCAAAAAATTATCGGGACTTTCGAGAAACAGAACCCAGATATGTACGTGGACGATGAAAATGATTCCAAAACTCGTCCATTTACAAAAAGGTTGGACGCATTTTTTACCGTTTAAGAAATGTGTGACCGACCGGCGCCATTACTTGGTCTGGAACCTTGATCATGGTCAAACTCTTTTCTAACGTGCTTATTTGTATGATCAGGAGCATGCATGTTCCATAAGTTTTGGAAGTTTCCCAAAACAACAAGCCTTATGTGTTTGAAGCAGTTGAAGAGAATATTATTTTGCTGACGGGTGAAAGTACATTGGTTACCCGTTATTTAATTTGAAGAATTGACGTTAAAATTCTTTTAATCAGTTTTAAGACTCTTCAACGCTGTTAAGTTGTTTCTTACTAACGAAGATGATGTGTACTGTGGAAAAAAATAATAAATCCAAATGAAGATATGGCCTTTGCAGTTGTAATCGGGTGTTCAAAGAGATCCCAATCCACGGCCAGTTTGCATCAGTGCTGCAATGCTCTTCCGAGTTTAATTTGCAATAAGGCCAGTTTCTGAGTTGCCCCTAGCTTCTGTTTCAAAACGAGGGTAAGTGCAAAGCTGTTGATAATAATAATAATAATAATAATAATAATAATAATAATAATAATAATAATAATAGTTATTATTATTATTATTATTATTATTATGCCTTGTACAGCGCTATTCAGCTCCTCTTTCATGGCGCTTTACAATGATTATCCCAACATAAAAACTAAAAGACAAAAACATATTATCGAGGTAAATTAATTGCAAAGCCTAAAAAAAAATAATGCATGATCCACCGTGTCAAATGCTGGTCTAGTAAGTTCTACTAAAAGCAATATGACTGACTTGTTTAGACCCAAATAACACAAGTTGTCATTTTGTACTCTAAGTAGCGCTGTTTCATTTGAGTGAAATTCTTTGTACGCTGACTAAAACGCCCGGGGGAGGGGGAGAGGGTGCTCAACAAAAGTTCATACCGGGAGGCTCTGCCCCGAGGTCCAATCCCTTACCATTTTTTATACCATTTTTCACGAAAAAGGTACCCCTTTCGTATACCTTCTATTGACAAATGGCACCCCTTTTACATACCTTGTTTAGAACTTTGCATCCCTTTTAACTGCCGTAAATGCACTGTCTTTTAAATATGAATCAATCACAAAATTAGAACGTTTTATTTATCTGTTAGCCCTTTTGGGTCGTTTTACAGACCCAAATGACAGATTTCGCTGCCCTTTCAGCTAGTGAAATCCCTACCCTTTCAGATACCTGAAACCTTAAAAAGTTACCCCTTTCTGGCGGAGCCTCCCCGTATAGGCCATCATAGGGAGTACCCCCCCCCCGGACTGAAACGCTTATCAATATGGTTGATCATAACGTGTTTGGACCGCAGCAGACTTTGCAACCAACTTAGAAATACACTTTAGATTTGAGATTGACCGAAAGTTTGTGAACTTCTTGAAGCTAGCGGTTGGTTTACTTAATGTGGGTGAAAGCGAAGCAATCTTTAGGGCATCAGGTATTACACCATTAGTTTAGGACAAATTAACAATCCTGGTAAGATAGGTAGGAGCACAGGGAAGCAACCCTCAAGAACTAATGCCGGCAGAGGATCGAGACAACAGGACTTGCTTAGAGGCTTATACTCAAGTAGTTTAAGGCCTGGGACTGAGGAGTTTACCTGTCGAAAATGAAGACTATAACTTCGGCATAGATGATAGCGCTGAATTAAAATTTAGCACACATAAAGAACTCATTGTCCTTAACATTTTAAGGTAGAAATATTGTGTTAATAAGTCACTTGATATGTCACGTGACCATTTTCCTAAAAAATCGTAAATTATTGACCAATTAATGGCCGGTTTAAGAAAAGAAATCGAGCAATAACATTTTTCGAATTCATATTAAATATTTCTAACACTTCACGTTTGGAATGACCGTCCATTGCACTTCAGTAATAAAGTATGAGGGAAAACATAATTTTAAATGCGTAAATTTAATCTTGAATTATTTAAAAATTCAATTTTAAACTTCGCGTACATTCATTCCAAACGTAGAAAGTTAGGTATGTTTATCCTCTTTCAGAAGTGCCAATTTGTTTATCCCAACAAAGTAAATTGGCCACCAATTCGCCAATTTCCTTCATTTTAATTTTTTGGTCCATAAATAAACGTTAACGCATAAAAAACCTCAAGATTTACTTTAGGGAAAAAATTCATTTTGTTCTAGGTCGCCTAGCGAGAGATATTGTCAGTCATTCATATTCTCAGAACACACCTTTGACCCAGGCCTTAAACACCTTGAGTAAGTAAATTCCTTGACATCTTCTTGACTGAACGGATGAAATTTATTTAATTCAGCAGCGTTTGTAGGCAATCCATCGTCATCAGCTAGCGATAGATCTCTGTTTCTTGCTACAAGGGCAGTGTGTATCTTTTCAACTTTGTGGTAGTGAAAAAGTCAGCAACTGAATAAGCAAGCAAAGCATTGCTATGAGAAGGAGGAGATCGCGTCTCATGAAATCTCTGCATAAGCTTGTTAACAGTTTTAAACAGCACCCCTTGATCTGAAGAATGCTCGTTAATTATTGATGTCTAATAAGCTGATTTCAGTGAACTAATCAAATTGTTGAGATGTAACACTGCATGATCATGACTGGTGCGCTTCTCGATCACTCTGTAGACTTGACTTCCGCCATTTTCTCTCTAGCCAACGCTCTATTGATATAAAGACTATTATTCTCACCCAAATGATACTCATTTTCACAAGAGAGGTTCTGCACTTAGCCTTCATTTCAAAAGGTGGTAGATTTTGAAACCTAGAAATGGCCTACTGCTTAAATTGACTAAAACTTGATGGAAACTTGAATCGGTCAAGAAGGGCACCAATTAGCTTTCACGACAGCAAGTTCCGGCTCTACTGATTTCTAGACCTGGACATGTCGTTGGACACAGTAATGCCAAGGTCAGTCATGGATGGTACACATTCGAGCTGTGATATGTAACACTTTACCCTTGCTTCCGTTAAATTCTTATTGACCGGTCTTGGCTCACTTATGTAACAGTCTAGGTATGTTTGGAGGAAGGAGTAATCGTCAGTTAGACAATAGCTTGATACAGTTTAGAGAAGTCGGCTAATATGGCAATGTTGGGAGCGTCGTTGATCCGTACACAGGGAAAATGAGTGGTCCAAGGATTGACCCCTGAGGAACGTCGGAAAGTACAGGCGATCTTACGATAAATTCCCATATAAATCTTAATAATTTGCCTTCCAGGAGGTTGTTGTGCGTCTGGGCGCCCTGTTGGGAGAACAGGGGCTTTGAGTTGCATTCTTTGTAAAAT